TCTGGCTATAGTAGGAACCACAGCTCAATCATATGGGAATGGATACTATTGTTTGGGGTCCTAGAAACTAAACCACTATGTCATTTTAACTCAACCTGCCTCCCAAAAAAACCCCACATTAAATTTCCATATGGCTTTTTCAAATATGTCTTACTGTTATCCTGTCCCCTCTGCCTCCTCTGCCCTATTCTCCCATCTCACTCCCCAATTAAACCTTCTTAAGCCTGGGTTTCATGTTCCTGGTTCCCAGCCTCATGGCTAGTTGCCTGGTGGTGTTAAGGTGGCAGACTGGGGTCAGGCTCACAGGTGAGAGCTGTGGTGATTTCCCCAGCCAGGGCTTGCAGGTTTCTGAGGAGCTGTTTCTCTGGCTAATCTCACAGATGGAGTCAAGACGTGTTGGGTGCCCGCCACATTGAAATGTGGCTTTCAGGCAGCTGATCTCTCCAGGATCTGAGTGCCAATTATCTCTCCCACTGGATCTTTCTCTCATTCTGTGCTCTGAATTTGAAGCAAGGTATTTGGCAGAAGATGGTGCCTAGACCTGTGCTGATGTTTGCTTTATCTGTTGTAATCAATGACTCATTGATGTGCCTCACATCCATGGGCAACCAGGGTCAATTACCAAATGGGAGCCAGGTGCAGAGAGGGATAATAAAACTAATGGCCAACCTAAAAACCACATCAATGACCAGCACAGGAAACGACATTGGTGCAGTAGTGGCACTTTTATCTTGGGGGTAATCAACAACTACCTAAGTGGACTTAAAGCCCACTCAATGGTTGGAAACTTGTGTGGTACTGTAAACCTAGCCAAATATACATAACTGTAGAGGTCACAGATCTTAGAGAAAACCCCAAGGCTCTTATATCTAGGCAAATGTAATTTCTTATCATATGCAAACTATGGTTCCTTAAATTTATAGACAAGTATCCCAGTCACCACCCATCAAAGTAGCTTCTTTTTCAACAGAGAGATTGTTACAGAGTTATACCACTGGTCACACGCAGAGATTCTCTGTGAATTGCCCAAGCCTAAGTGGCATATCTAGGATGCAACCTCTATACTTAAGACTCATGGGACATAGAACAAGGGATGAAGAGAACACTAATGCATCTTTCAATTCTCATCAATGAAGCTCCCTCATGCAACAGAGGGCCAGGAACACAAAAAGTCATAAATGGCCAAAATGCAGAGAATAAGAGTCTGCAGAGTGTGGATCCTTGGACAGTACTCCTATATTGAGGTCCACCCACCCACTGCTCAGGGACCATTTCTGAAGAGGGGGCAGAAAGATTGTAAGAGCCAGGGAGGAGGTGCATGACCAAACAGAAATGGTCCTACAGGTGTCTGGGACCCTTCTCATACAAACTTACAGCAATGGTGTCAGCATGCATAAGACTCATGCAAACTTAGGCAGACAAAAACCCAGCACAGAACTGTGGAAATGAACAGCAGGCCCCAATCTTAGTTGAAGAATTATTGGCAGCTGAGTACTGCTGGGTGAGGAAGAGCTGGAAGGGAAAGATTCTAGATAGGCTGACTAGATCCCAGTGGATGAACTTGCACTGAGGGACATCTGGGGACACTAACCTTACATGATAGGCCTTAACACAAATGACAGAATGTATGAACTCCAGTGTGTGTGTGGGTGCTATGGGCGGGTACTGAAGGAGAAGGGGGTCTAAAGATGATTTTACATAAGAAATACACAAAAATTCAATAAAAAAGAAAACTACTGGCCAGGAAGTGGTTTCAGATTCACCCCTTCTTGATTTTTCTCCTTCTATACCTCCTCTCTCCGCTACTGGTTAAAAGACAGTGCAGGCACACTGGATCGAGTGCCAGCTTGGCAACTTACCAGTTGAAGGGCCTTGGGAAAATTTACTTAACATTCTGAGTTCCGGTGCCCATAAAATGGGGAGAACAATGAGGGTCATTGTGAAAAACAGAAGTTATACCACTTAGACATTGGGCAAACATTCTTTTTTGTGTCTGTCTCCTGTTTTGTGAGGGCAGAGATCTATCGAGAACCTCTGATCTTTTTAAAAAATATTTTTTATCTATTATTTTTATTTTATAAGTGTATTACCTGCATGTATGTAAGTGCACCCGTGTCATGTAATGCCTGCAGAGGTCAGAAGAGGGCATCAGAGCTCCTGGAACTGAAGTTATGAATGGTTGTTCACCATCTTGTGGGTGCTGGGAACTGAACACTAGTCCTCTACAAAAGCAGCCAGTGCTCTTAACCACTGAGCCATCTCTCTAGCCCGGAGAACCTTTGATCTTTGTGTTCCAATGAGATGGCCATGGTGAAGAAGAATAAAATCATATTTGAACACTATACATGTGTGGCAGTATGCTGAAATGCTTTCCATATGGTCCGTCATTTACCTTGGATATCGTTACCCCCATTTTGCAAATGAGAAAAATGAGGTCCCCTAAAGTTTGGTAACTTATTCTGAGGTCTCTTCTATAATTGGAGGGCAAGCCGGAATTCCAACTTGACATGCCTGATTTTGTTGTCACTGCTGGGCTCATAGAATGAGGAACATTCAGGAAAGAGCTTGATGCTTTATGGACAATGATCACATTCCCATTTTCTGGTTTTTAGAAATACTGGAAAGCAGTAGAAAAAAAATCTCATTCTTGGAGCTAGGAGTTACAGCAGGGGATGAAATTTAGGGTAAAGTAAGGTTGGCATGCAAGTCCAGAGCTTATAGCTAGTATTGAGAAGATTGGGACCTAGGGAGCTCAGGAGCCTGGTCTGTGCTAGGCTCTTTCTTAAGAGAACAACTGGTAAAAGTTTGCCAACTTGACAGGGGAGGAAATAGTTCTAGAGAGGAGAGGACTTTTCTAAGACTGCTTGGCAAAGAACCAGCTCCTGAACCCAGGCTCCTGGGCTCCGGCCGTGCACTCGTGCATTCTTCCTGCTGCCCCATGCCAATGACCAGGTTGAGGTAGTGTCTTGAGAAGAGCTCTGGGGAAGGTAGGCTAAGGATCTTGTAGATGTTCTACCTCATGGTTCCTCTGTAAAGCCAGTGTGCGACTTGGATTCTAGAAGAAAGAGCCACAGTCCATAGCCAAACAACTTGGGTTCTTCTCCACTGGGCATACAGGAAGCTTCTGTTAAGTCATATCGGGTCTCCCCTGTAGATGTGATATTTAGAGACTGTACAGGAACTTGTTCAAGGTAACTCAGCACCTTCAGAAGCTAAGCTGGGGTTTGGATCCTTGACTGGAGCCCACCAGAGGTCAGCCTGCTGTTGATTTCAGCTTTAGAGCAAAGGTGTCAGGAACACTTTGTCTTTCTTATTTTATTTAAAAAAATATTTTATTTATTATTTTTACTTTATGTATATGAGTATTGCCTTCATGTATGTAAAAAGTGCAATGCTTGCGGAGGTCAGAAAAGGACGTCAGATTCCCTGGAACTGGAATTACAGATGGTGTTAGCTGCCATGTGGGTGATGGGAATCAAACCTGGGTCTTCTGTAAGAGCAGTCGGTGCTCTTAACCCCTGAGCCATCACTCCAGCGCCTCTTTCTTACTTTCTACCACCCTCTGATGCCCATACCCTTGGACTAGCCTGAGACTACCTCGATAGATCCCAGCTCTTCTCACTTCTCACCCCTCCATTAATGACGACTGTTTTGCTTTTATCATTATATCTGGAGTCCCCTCCAGCAGCCTCTTCCTTCACCCCACACTCTCAGACTATATGCAATACTGCTTCCTTCAGGAAACTCTTCCATATTTACCATCACTGATTGTCACAGCCTAACGGTGGTCCTTTAAAGATATCAGGTATCAACCTTGGAACCTGCTACTGTATTTGGAAGAGATTCTCTAGTGTCTTCTGCATGTTTTATTTTATTTTGCTTTTTTGAATTGGGGGTCTTACTATGTAGCCCAGGCTAGCCTCTAACTCATGATATTTCTTTCTCAGTCTCCCAAGTGCTGGCTGGCCTCCCTCACACTTTAAAAGGGCTTCAAAGCACAGTACAATTGTCCGTTGGTATTTGAGGGGGACTGGTTCCAGGATCTCCTGAGAATACTGAAATCTGCCACATATAGTTGCATAACATTTGCACACAGTCCAGGCATGGCCTCCCGTACACTTTAAATCATCCCTAGATTACCTGCAACACCCACTTCCATGTAAAAGGCATGAACAATTATTATACTATACTGTTTAAGGAATGACAAGAATAGCAGTCTACATGTACAGACGAAAGTTTGAATATTTTCCATCTGTGATTGGTTGAATCATGTAGGTGAGGAAGTGTTCCCAGTGGGCCCCCTTCTCCCCTTTCTCAATTTCTTCCTCCTTACAGTGGGAATAACACTCTTCCTGGGATTGCAGGCTGTGAAGGAGTCAGGAATGGATTGTGGCGGTGATGCTAGTGGCCAAGAGACTAGAATTGCGTGGAATTTCCACCAAGAACATCCAGTGACTACTCCATCCTCCTAAGAATGTCCTTAGGAGACCAAGAACTTGGCCGAGTTCTTTGAAAAGTCCGGCATTCATGTTACACATGGAGAAGCCTTGTGTACAAAGATGCTGAGACTGCTTCAAAGGCAGGTGGCAGGTGAGTCACAGCCTGTCAACCGCAGGCCCCAGGCGCCCTGGTTCCTCTGTGGAACTACTCCCCTCTGCCCCAGGCGGGACTCCAAGGCAGGCCAGGCGTGGCAACCGCGCAGGGTGCCCACTGCAGGAGCACAGAGGGCCTTTGTGCCAGACAGGCACCACCCTTTGGCCGGCTCCTCCCCATCGCGGGACAGCCTTTACCTGCCCGGCACGCCCAGGCTTTCCCTTCACCTCAAGGGCAGCAGGCAGCGTTGCTGGCTCCTCTTCCAGCGCTGCTCACCTGGAGCTGCTCCCGACGGTGCAGCGCAGTGCCTCTGCCCAGTCCCTGTCCAGCCCCTGCCCAGCCTCTGCCCAGCGCCACTGCCACGCTGCCCCTGTCCCCTGGAGCTGATCATTAACTCAAAGGCAGTGTAAGCAGTGAGCGGGCCCCAGCGGGCCGGAGGGACACTTCACCACCACCATGGACAGTAGCACCTGGAGCCCCACGGTCACCGCCACCGACTCTCCAGAGGTCCCGTCCTATGAGCGCGTCCGCAATGCAGCTGACATCTCGGTCATCGTTATCTACTTCGTGGTGGTGATGGCTGTCGGGCTGTGGGTATGTGGGGGCCCTGGGAAACCCACTGAAGCGGCGAGGGTCACTGGGAGGGATGAGCCAGCTCAAGGAGAAGCAATGGCATCGCTGAGCTCCAAGAAGGCAGGCTTGTAGGTCTATGAAGAGGGGTGGAAATGTCTTGGAAATACTTGGGAGTTCAGGGCACAGTGTGCCTATAAGAAGGAAGACAGTGCCCAGGGGAGCCTCACAGGGAGGATTGCAGAGACTAAAGGGGGTAGTAAGGGACAGGGCAGGGGCAACATGGAGTTGCAGAGAGAGGGCACAGGGCAGGTAGCTACTCTCCTACCTCTTATTTAGTGAGTGTCCATGGGAAAGCTACAGGTTCTGTCAGCCACAGGTGCCTGAGGTGGCCTATGGCTGACCAGTGCCTGCTCCTGGGAAGGCTAACCCAGAGAGAGAGAGAGAGAGAGAGAGAGAGAGAGAGAGAGAGAGATCTTGTGTGTGTGTGGTTCTGGGGATCTCAGCAAGTTAGAGAGGAAGAAGCTTTGTGGAGCGGAGAAGCCGAGTGTCCTGCTGCTCGGGAGAGGGAAGTGCTGTGGCTCCTCTTAGACTCTTAGACTCTGGGGACACACCAAACCAGAGAAACTTGTTTGCAGCCTGGAACTTGGAAAGTACATTTAAGTCTCTGGCACACCTAACACCTAGAAAAAGTGTCCTCTTCTAAAGATGGAGCTGTGGTGGAGGCTGCAGTGACAGCAGCCGCTCTTGTTGGACTCTTGAATTAGGGGAAAAGATGGTGGCCATTAACCATACCACAGACACAGAGGTTAAAGGGAGGGTGATTTTCTTTGAAAGGAATTGTAACAACCACACATAACAGAGACTCCTCAAGTGTCAGTTACCTGGGGCCAATGTGGCTGACTTCCTTAACGTGGTGGAAAATGTCCAGAACACTCACCTTTAGTATTGGATCTCATGTGGTTGAACTAGATGATGCAGAACAGCTTCTCACATCCTCAGTTTACCCAAGTATAAAGTAGGTACAATTGTGTCTATTATTATGAGCCCACCTCTACACCCCCAGCCCCCCAGAGTATTGTGAGGTGACTCTGAATACTCTTTATCAGACTCTAGGAATTTGTTATGTTCTTGTCATTTACCCTACAGGGCATGATCCAGACTCTGAATAATTTTTGTTCTTATAAGTAAAACAGGAAAACTAGTAAGCTGGGTTGCATATCTTCACACAAAAAGCCAGGGAAGACTGGGGTGCTGGTTGTCATGTTATAGAAGAGGAAGTGGAAGGCCCATGTAACTGTGATTTGCCCAAGATTTTGCAATACATAGAACTGTTCCTGGAACTCAGGTGTCTTGATTCCCGCCTTTCCAGGGTACCAAGTGTTCCAGCACAGTGCCTCCTTCCCTCCTTCCCTCTCTGCCTCAGTTTATAGATGTTGGAGTCAAGATGTGAACCTACCATTTGCTAACCATGCTATGCTGCCGGTTTCCCAGACATTCACTGATAATCTCAGTTCTCTTAGCCAAATTCATTTTAGCCTTCCAAGTCCCGCAGGTGTTTACATTTTTTATGGTATTTGCCCTTCTGAAATATCTGTGAATCAGTATCACTTGTCCTGTTAAAATGCTACTTAATGAGCCTGCTAGTATTTGTCTATGTTAATCTTTTCCCATTAGCCAGTGCCTCTGGACCCTGTTCATTTAACATGCTGGATTTTTTTTTTTCCAGTCAACACTCCTCTTTTTGCTACTGAAGTGTCAAGAGTATCTTGATTTAGGGATGGGCACTCTGACTTCTGAATGATTTCTTGGCCACACAGAAAGACTGATCCAAGGCCATTGTGCTGCCTCAACTTAGAAAAAACCTCCACAGCCCATGTCGCTCCATCCCTACCCCCATCCCTATCCTCATCCCCACCCCCACCCCATCCCTATCCCCATCCCCTCCAACATTATTTAGTTCAGTTTTGCACTCTTCTAACTCTGCTTCTTCATTCAATCATATTTGAGTTTGGCTTATTTTTTTTTGGTATTTATTTCCATTTTTGATCACTGCTTCTCAGTTTGCTTCTTCGGGAGATTTTTACATATGTTTAATTTGAATTGCTGACCTTATTTTTGCTGGAAGATGCTATCCTGCAACCTCCTGAAGCCAAGCGTTGTTAAAACTATGGCCTCTGGGGGCAAATCTTGACCCACAGCCCATTTTTTTTGTAGAGCTCATAAGCTAAGAGTAATTTTTACACTTTTAAAGGGTTATAAAAACGGTAGGATAAGACAAAATAAAAAGACTACATGGGCCACTGTCCACCAAATCTAAAGTAGTCACTATCAGATCCATTTTCTTTAGGCCCAATCAATGATTGCTTGTCATGAACACTCCTGTTATTTGAACCAACAGGATCATTGCTACCCAAGTTGGGATGGTCTTTGGGCTAATTCAACGTTTGAGTTGGAATAGCCTTGGGGAAGTTTAGTCTCTCCATTTTATAAATATGTGTCAGAGTGGGTGACCAGAAGTCATTCAGATGAATCAGCACCAGAGTTGGGATGATTAGATCTCAGCTGTAATGATGTAAAAGTCAATGTTATTCTTCCTTTCACTTCCTCAAGATACTGTCCTTCCTCAAAGTATGCTCTCCATTGCCCTTTCTATCACACCATTAGAGTGACAGTGTCCAAAAGGTACTAAATTTCTTCTTTCCTTATACATTTGCATAAGAATGTGTCCAAAATTTACTGACTTCAATCCTTTCCATTCTATATTCACATCTCTTTAAAAAGATTTTTTTTTGGTCTTTTTGAGACAGGGTCTCCCTGTAGCCCCAGCTGGCCTGGAACTCATTATGGAGATCCACCTGCCTCTACCTCTGACTGCTGGGATTAAAGGCGTGTGCTATCAAACCTGGCTACATTTAAAAAAAAAAAGATTTTTAAAATTCCTTGTGAATTTCATACAATGTATTTTAATTATATTCACTCCCAACCCTAACTTGTCTAAGACCTACCCCTACCCCACCTTTTAAAAGAACAACTCATTGACTCTAATTTATGCTTCCTATGTACTCCTGGGTGTGGGGTCATCCACTGGGGCCTGGTTGCCCTACCAGGAGCTGCATCTTTAAAGAAAGCTGACTCTTCCTCCCCAAGAAACCAGTTAAGGATGGGAACTCATGAATGCCCCCCCTTCCCACTCCATGCTAGAATGTTGACTAGCTTGCCTTGTGCAGGCAACCAGAGCTGGTAAGAGTTCATGAGCGCAGTAGTCCTGTTAGAAGACACTGTTACCTCCAGTCACCCCAACTTCTGGTTCTTACAGTCTTTCTTCCCCCTCTTCTGCAATGGCCTCTAAATCTTGGGAAAGGACATACTGACATTTCTTCATTGAATTATTTGACAAAATCATTTTGACAAGTTGCCAACAGCTTTAACTTGAATATTGCAGCAGAAGCTCTCCCTAGTCGCTCTGTTTCCATCTCTGGACAGCTTTGGAAGAGAAGAAATCCTTCCTGGGACCCAGCTCAGCCCTCATATCCTTGGCTTCTTACATTTCACCTGGTTGTTCCCTGTGTAGGCTACACTGAGCATTCCTGCCCCATTTCACGTGTCAGAAGACAGTAGGCTACACCTAAGTTCTCCCCTCTCTAGGCCAAACACTCTACTTTCTCAATCTGTTTCTCATTTAACAGATCGGAAAATCCTTCCTTTAGTTCAAAGATATCTTTATTCCATTGAGGAAGAAAAGAAAAACATTGTGAATCTGTCTGTAGTTGTGATTCCATGGCTTGCACGTGTGCATTTTCTCTTCCACTTGTGGAATATACAGGTGAATTTAATGCCAGAGTTTGTAAAGTGGGATCTCAAACCCTGGAGTTTCCTTTATGTATATCTTGATCATGAGACAGTGTTTTCTATGCACAAGGCATTTCCTAAGCCTTATGGGAGATTAAAAATTTGTCATGGGCTAACACAAAATTAAAAAAAATGTATGAAAATGTCATAATGCAACTCACTATTTTATACACTTAATATATGCTAATAAAAAATAAGTAAGGTCTTTGAAGGAATAAATGGAGTTCTCTAGGTATTCAGAGGTAATTCAGAGGTATTCAGAGGAAAGAGAATATCTTTGCTTGTGGAGGGGAGGAAGTCATAGGAGAGGTTTCCACAGGGAGGAGTCACGTAGGGTTTCACCAGGAAGTGGCATTTGAGGGATCTTGAAGGATGGGCTGGGAGGATCTGGGCTTGCAGAGATTAGGGCTAAACATTCTGAAGAGGAAAAGGTCTGGGGCAGGCCTAGCTCCTCTGTTTTGGCCATGACTGATCTTTTTCCTGAGTTGTTCCAGTTGCCTACTCTAGACTCTGCCCTCACAGTCTTCCCTTAAACTATTCACTTCTGAGACTAACTGGGAAATGTTTGTGTCTGTGCCCTAAGCCCACTTTTCCTGTTCTCCCAACCATGCCTGGATGGCATCATCATTCTTGGATTGCAAAATTACCCTCAGAGTGGTCTTTCCCAGCCATCTTCTGGAGCCCGAGACTTTGGTGTTTATTTCTGCTCCAGACCTACTACCTCTCCTGCTTCTTAGATCTGTTGGCCAATTTGTATTTCCAGTGAAATCATCAAAAAGACTTCAGAGTATGTCCTTTGGGCAGGAGGACCCTCCAGAAGTCAAGAAAGACTTGAGTGCTCTCCCTGGTATTTCCTGGTACACAAGGGTACTCAATAAATCTATGTTGATTGGATGCATGAAGGCCCGGCTTCCTAAAGGACTAAGTCCAGTACATCTATGCAGTCTAAACACCTAGCAGTGTGCCACCTGCTGCAGATGTGTGCTGCAGGAATGACATCATAGGTTAATTCCTTCTGACCACTGTTGGGGACAAGCCATTATCAGTCATTAATATTTTCAGGGGAATAATGTGTCTGATCAAAGAAAGCCAATGACAGAAAAAGAGAGGGGAAAGAGGAGGACTAGGGGTCAGGCCAATGGCACTGTTCCCATTTTGTGCTGGAACACTGGGCCTGGGCCCGAGGCTGGTTCAGGAATGACGGCAGACTCAGAGGTAGCAATTCCAGGGGAGCTGTGAGAAGGGCTGGTCCTCATGTTTCAAAGATAAGTGTCTTTTGTCATCTCCCAAACTCTCAGGGGCTCCCTGTTGCCTGAAGCCTGGCATTTGACATCCTGCGCTCTGTCTCCCTTTCCACCCTGTCTGCTTTGTTTTCCTTAACCAGGTGTAGCAGCTAACATCATCTGTCTTCCCTCCTCTGCACGCTGGATGCTGTTCCACCTTGATATCTCGAATCTGACATTCCTTCCTATAGTCTGAAATCCACCCTCTCTTTTTTCTCATACTAATAAAACCTCATTCTTCCTTTAAGATTTGCTGAAATCTGCCCTCTGTAAAGTCTTTCTTGTCATCAGAAAGCATCTCCTCATTCCCTCTGAACTTATTGGTCCTAATATATTGCAAAGTAATGATTCTAGTTGGCTGCTACTATCTCCCCAGAAAGATCTGAATTGAGTTTGAATGTCTGGCCTTTTATTTAGGTTAAGGATGGATGCTTTTCATTTTCATAGCATTTTAATTTTGGGGTAACAGTTTTATTGAGATATAATTCACACTATATAGTTCTTTTCAAAGGTATGATAGCTCGCTCATTGAGTACCTTGGTGTACTTATAAGAAAGACATAAAAATTTCCACTTCCCCGTGTTTAGCACACTAGCCCTAGTTTCCCTGTCTGTCAAATATAAGTTCCCGCATCCTTCATCTGAGCATACTGAGGTTCCAGGGGGGATGAGGAATGCAAAGTGTTTCAGAAAGTGGAATGGGTAAAAGGACGTGCTAATTTGTGAGGAGGTATGTTCTTCTGGCTGGCAAAGTCATTCTAGTTTTTAATTAAAATTTTGACCCTTTCCCCCTCAGGCGATGTTCTCCACTAATCGTGGGACCGTTGGAGGCTTCTTTCTGGCAGGCCGAAGTATGGTGTGGTGGCCGGTAAGTTTTCTCTGAAATATTTTTTGTTTATGGTATCTTTTTAAGGAACCCATTTTCTTCTTGGCTGTGGGCTGTGGTGATTCTAGTTTCTCACCTAGATTCCTTCTCATTAGTTTTATGTTCACCAGGGGCCCTGGGCATCTTTAATCTCTTCTGTTAAAGGAATAGCCTTAGGGCCTGTGAGGTGGATCAGCAGGTAAAGGTGCGTACTACAGGAACCTGATGAACTTACATAAAGGTGGAGGGATAGAAATGACTCCACAAAGTTGTCTTCTAACCTCCACATGTGCACTGTGGTACATGCACCTCAATTCCCCTCATACACTCAAACAAATGATAATAACGATAATGATAATGATAATAATAAGAATGGCCTTTAAGCAATGCTTGGAATCCTTCAAGGGATAAGTAGAGGAAAAGATTGCACAGGGTGGTCAGTGTGGAGAAACAAAAAGAACACAGAGCCACATCACTGGGTTTGGAGGAGCCTGTAACCCTTGTACTCAGGAGTACTGATTGCATTTTTTGAGGCCAACCAGGGATAATAGTGAAGACTCCAAAACTCAAAAGTCAACCCAACCCAACCCATCCCCAAAAAACCAAAACAAAACACATAGGTCAAGGTAATTTCAGTCAAATCCGAGCTTCCATTTCTTTATCTGTAAATGAGAATTGATGATATTTTGCTCCTAGGAATATTATGAGAAGTCAAGCTCTCTTATATGGAGGAAAAAAATTAATAGACAGTAGGTTTTTTTTTGCCACCACTTTCCTCCTTTAAGACTCTAGAGATTTAACCTGTTTTCTTTCTCTGGATCCTTATGCAATGCCTGGTACACTGGAGGCTCTTAATAAATGTCACTGAATGGATGCAGGAGGAGTCTCCTGCTGCTTCCAATTATACGTTTCTCTCTGCGTGAGGTCTTTTTATCTCTTGGTGGATTTTATATTTTGTATTTTTAAAAGGTATTTTCTCTGATGGTTGTACATGGGCAGAGCTCCTAATCAAAGGACATGTGCCCATGTAGGTTGTTTTTCTGTCATATCAGCACAGAGATCGACAGGTTCATCAGACAGTCCAATGGCCATTTTGATCTGAAGCTCGTATCAAAATGACTGGTTGAATAAATTGGCCAATCTCTGCAATTCCTTGGGCTTAAGATACAAATTAGGTTGGCTAGAGAAAGATGGAGGTAGCCATGCACACATATGCTGAGAAGGGAGGGATGGACAGCACAGGCTGGTCTGAAGAAGAGGAGAAAGAAAAAAGTCACTGCTGTGATGTAGCTAGCTCAGAGGACTCAGCAGGAGATCATACCACATCCTCTAGGCGGGCTTTGATGAACTACTTGTCAGTGGAGTTTAGTAACTGGCATTTTCACAGTCACTTAGGTTTTCCTTGAAATCATTTCTACTTAAAATTAGGACAATTTTAATTTATTTTTATTTTATGTGTATGAGTGTTTTGCTTACAAGTGTGTATGTGCACCCATGTCATGCAATGTCCAAGGAGGCCAGAAGAGGGCAATGGATCCTCTGGAACTGGAGTTCTGGATGGTTGTGAGCCATCATGTGGGTGCTGGGAGCTGAACCTGGGTCCTCTGCAAGAGCAGCCAGAACTCTTAACTGCTGAGTCATCTCTCTAGCCCTCTAAATTTTTTTGACAAGTAAAAATTGTATATATTTATAGTGTACATGATATGCTGATAAATATTTTATATCTATATCATGTAGCTATTAAACAAAGTCAATTAATATATATGTCACATCACACACTTCGGTATTAAGAACATTAAACATCTAATTTCCTAGTAATTTTCAAATACACAATACATCATTATTATTAACTATGCTATACATTGATTCCTGGAATTTATTCAAACTAACTGAAACTTTGTGCCCTTTAACCGATATCTACCCATCTCCTGTACTTCCTTCCCCTCCAGTCCCTCAAACCCAGTGTTCTATGCTTTGCTTCTATTATTTTGACATTTTAGATTCTGCAAGTAAGTGGGATCTCGAAGTCATTTATATTTATCCTTAATGGGCCAAGAATACTGAGCAATACTGGTTTTTGTGATGAGCTCCTCAGGGTGGCCTTTCTACATCTTGGTGCGTAGAGAGAGGCACACACATTTGGAAGCTTCCTTTAGTTCTGTGTCAGGGCTTTTTGTTTATTCATGGTCTAGAATTCAGTACTTTCTTAACAGCAGGCATTAAAGAGGCTGCTCTGATCTCAAAGTTCAAGACAAGGCTAGAGCAGTTTCTCTAGCTCTCTGGTAATAGTAGCCATGAGGCATACTGGTTATTAGAAATGAAAGTTAGATAAAATTATAAATTGCTCTGTAAGTGTGCTGGATAGCTTTAGTATCAACTTGACACACCTGGGTTGAGGGAGCCTCAATTGGGGGATTGCCTCTATTGGACTGGCCTGTGGCCATGTCTGAGGGGCAGCATCTTGATAAGTGATGTGAGAGGGCCCAGCCCACTGTGGGTGCTGCCACCCCTGGGCAGGTGGGCCTGTGTTGCCTAAGAAAGCAGGCTGAGCAGGGGCCAGGGGAGCAAGCCAGTAAGCGGTGTTCCTCCATGGCCTGTGCTCCAGCTGCTGCCTCCAGGTTCCTTGCCCTGAGTTCCTACCTTGGGCTGCCTGATGAACTGTGACCTGGGAGATGTAAGATAAATAAACCCTTTTCTCCCCAAGTTGGTATTGGTCAGAGTATTTTGTCACAGCAATGAAGAACAAACTAGGACAGTAAGGTCACATGATACCTATTTATGAATAGTGGCTACCATTTTAGGAAGAGCAGATCATGGACATTTCTGTTGTTACAGAAAGTTCTATTGGGTGATGCCATCCTTCAAGTTTCAGATGCAAAGTTGGCATGAGCTCTTAGTGGACTCCTGAATTAGAGAGCTGACCAGAACCTTCAAATTTACTTAATTTTTTGAAAACAAAATACCCTCATCTCATCTAGTGCTTCAGAGTCCCCTCTAGCAAGGCTGCCAAATGCTCACCCAGTCCCAGTTTGCTCCAAGTTCTCCTTTCTCCTCCCCATGCTATGGCAAGAAATTCACTACTTTCAAGATAAATCATTGAATGATTAAAAAATATTTTTTATTATTTTTATTTTATGTGTATGAAAGTATTGCCTGCATGTATGTAAATGCACCCATTGTGCAACCTGTGGAGGTCAGAAGAGGGCATTGGATCCCCTGGAACTGGAGTTACAGATGATTGTTAGCCACCATATGGGTGCTGGAAATCAAACCTGGTCCTTTGCAAGAGCAGCCAGTGCTCTTAATTGCTGAGCCATCTCTCCAGCTCTGATTTTTTTCTTTCTTTCTTTTTTTTTTTTTGTGAGATAGGTTCTCATTAGGTAGACTTGGCTGGCCTGGAACTTGCTATGTAGACCAGGCTGGCCTTGAACTCATGGAGATTCCCCTGACTCTGCCTCCTGACTGCTGAGCTTAAAGGTGCCACTAAGCCTGGCTAAATCATTGCATTTGCATTTCATTTTTTAAAACATATTTTAATTATTATTTTTATTTTTTGTGCATGAATGCATTGCCTGTATATAGGAAAGAGCATCCGTGTCATGCAATGCCCATGGAGGATAGAAGAGCCATCAGATCCCCTGGGACTGGAGTTATGGACAGTTGTTAGCTGCCATGTGGGTGCTGGGATTTGAACCTGGGTCTTCTGCAAGAACAACCAGTGTTCTTAACTGCTGAGCCATCTCTCCAGCCCCGCATTTCATTTTTTTTTTTAAAATTATTTTTATTTTATGTGTATGAGTGTATTGCCTGCATGTATGTGAGTGCACTTGTGTCATGCAATGCCGCAGAGGTCAGAAGAGGGCTTCGGATTCCCCTGGGACTGGAGTTATGGACAGTTTGTTAGCTGCCATGTGGGTGCTGGGAATCGAACCCAGGTCCTCTGCAAGAGCAGTCAGTGCTCTTAACCACTGAGCCATCTCTCCAGCCCCCTGCATTTCATTTTTAAATATCTTTATTTCCTTTTATTGATGTAGTCAGATGAAATTATATTGTTTTATAAAAAATTTTGGTTTATTTATTGGGGGGAAAATCTCAGCTCCTAATCTTTGAGTTTTGAAGAAGGCAGTGAGGGGGAAGTCCTGGAGCAGCATAGCTCTTAGATTTATGTGTTAAACTTGGTCTGAGAACAGATTGGTTTGGGGCTTAAGGTTGGCTGATGAGAAGGATTAACCCCACCCAAATCAGGTAGGGCTCAGTGGCATATGTGATGTTTCCATGGGCATTGTTTTCTTCCTGACTGTCTCAGGATTGGATTAGTCTCACCACCAGAGAAACCTGGTATTGTTCTGTGTGAAAGTCACTACTTCCTTGATGAGGCTGACATTTGACTCATTCTCCAATTATAATTTCCATCTAGGGTTTCATGGGATTGTAAAAATGGTTTCTATGAGAGTGGAGAGATGGCTCAATGGTTAGGAGCCCTTGCTGCTCTTGCAGAAACCCAGGTTTGGTTCCCAGCACTCACACAGCAGTTCACCACAGTCTGTAACTCCAGTTCCAGGGTACCAAGGCCTTCTTTTGGCCTCTGTGGGCATTGTCCATACATGGTGCTCATAAATACATGCAGGCAGTATACTCAGATACATAAAAAAATGATTTCTAAACTTGTCTGTGTATCAGAATCACTTGAGACAGCATAGACACAGCACCCGACACTGCCTGAGCAGCAGCTAATAGACAGTTAATAGTTAAGAAGCAGAAAGAAGGGCTGGCGAGATAGCTCAGCAGTTAAGAATACTTGCTGCTCTTCCAGAGGACCTGGATTCAATTCCCAGCACCCACATGGTGGCTAACAACTATCTTTAACTCTGGTTCCAGGGGATGTATTAAAATGGATGCATGTTGATTTATAGTAGTAAAAATAAACTACTACTACATAGAACTCATGTTAAATTAATTCATTTGGATGACACACTTTAGGTTAAGTGATAGTGTGTTTTTCT